TCATGGCATGGAGGTTCAGAGCTTGAGAATGACAGACCCAGTTATGTAACAACACACGATAAGAGACATTCATCTAAAACCCTTTTGTCCATTTGAGATTAAACTGAAAGGAGGAACGATGCCTATCTTTTCACTCGAGGATCTCAGACTATTTCATAAACATGAATTTATTAGTCTACCAACAAAAAGCTTCTCCCCCTTGACCCGGGGAGCTGAGCAGAGAATAGGTGTTCTCACATCCACCCAATAGGTGTGTGTGTGTGTGTGTGTGTGTGTGTGTGTGTGTGTGTGTTTGTGTGTGTGTGTGTGTGGTAAAATATACATAACATAAAATTTACCACCTTGTCCATTTTTAAGTGTTCAGTGGCATTATGCACATTTGCATGGCTCTGCCACCATCATCGCCATCCTTCTGCAGAACGCTTTTCATGTTCCCAAATGAAAACTCCACACCCATTAAACACTAACACCCCATTCTCCTTCCCTCACTCCCAGGCAAGGACCATTCTAATTTCTGTCTTTATGAATCGGAGTACTCTGTGTGCATCCTAGATGTGGAGTCATACGATATTTGTATGTTTGTGAATGGCTTATTTCACTTAGTGTAATGTCCTCAAGCTTCATCCGTGTGGTAGCATGTGTCAGAATGTCCTTTATTAAGGATGAAATATTCCATTGTCTGCGTAGACCACACTTTGTTTATTCGCCTGTCGATGGACATTTGGGTTGCGTCTACACTCTGGCTAGTGTGAATGCTGCTGCTGTGAACGCTGGTGTTAAGATAGTTACCTTAACACTATTCCAGTCCCTGCTCCTGATTCTTTGGAGTATGTACCCAGGAGTGGAATGACTAGATCATATGGTAATTCTATGTTTAACTTTGGGGGGAACTTCCACACTGCCCAATAGGCTTTTGCACAAAGCCAGTAGAATATGCCAGGAAGTCTATGTGCAGACCCCATGCCACCCACCTCTGCCCAAGGAGCCCCTCCCCGCCAGCACACTGTAAGCACACTTGGAGGTTCTCAGAGGTGGTGAGGCTACTGCCTTGGAAGCAGTGACATCAATCAGCCACATCAATCAACACCTGGAGTCCAGTGGCCAGGGGACAGACCTCAATCTTCCATGGTCTCTGAGACCATCTGTCACCAGGATAGCTCAGGTCACATGGCCATCAGACTTGTTCTCCAAGCAGAAGCCCCCCCTCCATGACTTTCTTCCCTCACCTCTTCCTGTGGTCTGAATTCCCTCACTCGGTTAATTAGCATGCCTGGCACTGGCGCTTAAGACTTTAATCAGCATGGGGTGATTTTAATTAATCATGTGTCTCTGCATCTGGAGTGGTTTGTGTTCCAGGGTCAGGAGAGGAGCTAGAGATGGGGGATGGGAAAGGTGGCTGTGTGTGGTGTACGTGTGGGGAGAGAACCTAGAAATCTGGGGAGAGAGAATCATAGTGCCAAGGTGGCTAGGAAGCCACCGGCCACCTGTGAAACTTACTAGCAATGTATGGAAAGTCACTAGAACCATTAGGGCGGAGAATTGCCCCAAGATAAATGATGAACTAAATCTAGTTTTCAAAAGTGATTTAAAGTGTCAGGAATATTTCTGATGCTTTCCATAATTACCTGTGGGGTGAGGAGTGAGACAATCCAATGATGTGGATTGGGATCAGTCTGGGAAGGCATGGCCATGCTGGAGAACACGGCCTGATTGTGTGATGTCAGAGATGTCCCTGGGTCTGGCCTTCTTTGGGAAAGTCGTGGGAAGATGAGGGAATGGCACCTTGCTCTCAAATAATGGTGACCTTTCTACATGGTCTGTCAGAATTCTGTTGGCTTCCCCAGTTTTAGCATCCATGCTCTAAAAAGAATAGAGAAAGCCTAGATAAAGTTCAGAAGAGTTTAAAAAAAAAGTTGAATATATAGATAGAAAGATCATAAAAGCAAAGGTTTAAGGGTTTCATAATAACTGCCCAGGACTTACATCCCTATCCCATAAGGATCCACCTAGATGGAGAGCAAAGAAAAATAAATACATAACTGTTCCAGTAGCTGGTAAAAGCACTAAATAAGCCTAGGGAGTTGGGATAAGCCCGCAGATGAAGCAGTGAACAGTTTAGGGGCAGACATCAGTTCAAGGAGGAAATGACATGATCAAGTTACGAAAGGAGAAAGGTTCTCCCAGGCCTGTTAAACTGACCGAGTTCATGAGGCCTCGGAAGGCACTCGGAGCAGTTTGCTCTGATGTGGGGGTGAGGTGACACGACAGTTGCAATGAAGAATGGGATAGCAATGACAAAGAACAATAATAATGCTTGATCATTTACAAAGCTGTTTCATACCTATTGGGTCATGTGTGCTTAGGGAAACTATGAATTATGGGGGATGTTTTCTCTTTGTGGTTAAAGATGAGCAACAAAACGAGACTCAGAGACAATAGGATCGCATGGCCAGCCAATGGGGAAGCCAGAATTGGAACCTAGCTCTCTGCAGGTTCCCTACATTCTTTCCAACCAAATGGAAAGGACTCTTGTTTAAAATCGAGAGAGGAAGGACTTTTACAATTTCAGATATCAGGCAGTATTAAACACCAGTTGCAAGATATTTTTAGAAATCTCAATGAAAAGGCTTTTGAGAATCAGATTGGCCAGGCAGCTGGTCCTTTATGTCGCACACCCCAGAACCCCATGGCACATTGATCCAAGACAGATGATAGAACATGTCAGTGGGAGACATTGGGGAGGGTACTAGTTAAGTGTAGACCAAGAAAATGCTTTTGATTGAACAAGCCATGATTTTCTCTTTAAGGCCACGCGAAATATGGAGTGCTAGACAAGCAGCTG